TTCAAGTTGGTCTAATAAAAGATATCAGATTCACCCAAACACCCTTGTCTGCCTACGTCCTTAGACCAACACGGCTACAATCTACACCCCTATTAAAGAACGTCACAGTTTCCTTTGACTTGAACTTTCCCAAATACATGCCATAATGTCACTAAGCCCAAACTGGCTAACTTCAACTTCAAAAGACAAAATGGGAGTTCTGTAATATTTTGTTGCTGAACTTACAACCAATTAACTTTTAAGATGATATATCAAGTTGCAATCTTGGATTTTTTTGGTGTTTTTCCTTTAATTAGCTCATTTATTCTGTACGAACAGCAAATAGTAACTACTGCTTTTTCTTGAAACAGATCCACCATTTCTCGATATGTTTTTCCAGTGGCTCAAAACACATAACCAGCTTCTTAAGACCACCTTTGCAGTAAGCAGTAATTATATGTACTCATGTTATACATATACCTTAAATCATACATATTTCTATATCTGTGTATGCATGGCATTTTTCCAATAATTAAATCAGTATTTTGTCTGCCTCCCCCACTTTGACATGTTACTGCTACACATTATGCCCTTTAATGCCTGTGAGAATTTACTCTTCCAGCTGAGAGCAAAGATACAATTTGCATGTTGCCTTTAAAATGTGTGCTATTTTACCTGCAAAATGACTTCTTCTATCTGCCCACTGTTTATTTTGTTTTCCAGTTTTTGTACATCAGGTTCCTGTGAAGTTAAATAAATGCTCAGTGTCACTTTAAAATATGAAAAATAGATCTTACCTCAAAAAAAAGGATTTTAAATAGAAGATTAAACACTACTCAATTCTTTTCTAAATGTAACCACACAACTAAGTTTGCTACACTGCATGGAAACTCAACTGCTGTACTATTCTTTTCTTTCATAAGAATGTCTTGTGGCCTCAATTAATATATTAAGAAAAATACACTACTATCCTCCAAAAGTTGTTCTAGACAAAGCTAATATCATACTCCTGTATCACACAAAGGCAGTCAATGCTTTCTGCAGAAATAAGATAAGGCATTCTTCCAACAATTACTTTAAAACAGAAGCACAATGATACAAAAATCAGTGGAAAAAGAACAAATGATTGTTTCAAGAACTGCTGAGTGGCAAAATTAGGCTAAAGTTATGCATTATAGTAAGGCATAAAAAACAGTAAGGGTAAAAATTTGGTAAAAATATATTGGAAATCTATTGGCTTCCTGTAAATCTTGAAAAAAGCACATTTCAAGTTTCTTTAAAACTACTGATTTGCTAAAAGTAGAGACAATTTTTCCTTTAAACATGCCACAAAACATATGAAGAGTTAATAATATAATTAAAAAAGACATGAGACTCTGATTCTCTATCTAAATATCTAAAAGACATTATATAACTGTGTATGTTGTATGAAGATAATCTAAGATTTTTAAAATTGTCAATTTCACTGCAACGTTTTTGTCTATAAAAAAAAGTTATGAGCAGTTCTGTACTTACTGCTTTTACCATATTAAATCGTTCATTTATAATTGCTTCTGTGTATTTTCTATATGCTGCATCTTTGGGGATGTTCTGCAGAACAGCAATAAGTTTTGTATAGAGTATCCTCAGATGCTGAAATGATACCAAGGCATGATTAAAATGTACATATAGTAAATCTGCCCTTCCCAGCAAAGGTTTAGGGCAGCTTACAAAAGAGAACAAAATAACTTATAAAACAAGGGAACAGAAGAACAAAACAGAATACTACCATATTTACTTGAATATACAATGACCCTGACTATAACAAGACTCCCAATAATTAGATTCTATACATGGAAAATGTATACATTTGTTATGATTTTCTAGGTATAGAATCTAATTTTTGGAGGTCTTCTTTGAATTTGTCCCCTCCTACAGCTACAACAGGGAAAATAAATCTGGGGAGGTCAGGTGGCCCCTTTCCCTTTGCCTCCTCCAACATCCTTCCCTGCAGCCCCTCCTTCCTTACTGTCAGTCCCTGCTCTCCTTGAGCACATAGAAGACGCAAATTTGAAAACACTGGTTTGGAAATAAACGTGCCTATGGTAACTTGTATATGTGAAAATGAGCATGGGTAGCCATAAATTTAGATCATCCGCAATTCACGCACTTTACCTTTTTTGAAACTGCTGTAAGTTTTAGCACAGGTAAATTACAAAAATGCTGTTAAAAAGCATGTTTATATTCACTTACATATAGTACAAACTATGCACGATAGTGATCCAAAGCCAAAAGGCTCATGATTTATCATATAGTTCATTGGGCCGGACCCCAGCAGAGTCAACAGCATTTCAAGCCATGGTAACCCTATATCTTAGCATAGGGGTGTTCAGCCTTTTGGGATCAGTGTACCCGGGGGGGGGAGAACACGAAGTGGCAACAGCCACCGCGTGCAAGCTTTCCCTGCCCCCCACATCCAGCCAGGCAGCCAGTGCCTGCACAGCAGCACCTGCGCAGCAACACAGGATGGTGCATGGCAGTACTCTGTCCCCAGCTGCCCGCACGTACCCCCTAGAGCCTTCTCAAGTACCCCTAGGGGTACACATACCCCTGGTTGACAACCCCTGGCTTAGCATGTGTGTGCACTCTAGATACACCACGCCACTCCCTCGCACCGAAAAAAAAGGATCCATGTGCTAATTAGCCCTCCACACATGACTTGGATGAGGCGTTCTTGTCACAACTGGGATCCTCCAAAAATGTATATGCAGATGAAACACAGGGCAACATGGTCTGGCTCTACCTCATGGAGGGCAGGGCAACACTAACCATGTGCCAAGCCTGAGAGAGGGGCTGACAGAGGGATTCTAGGTGAATTGTTTGGGGCCCTGTTAGGTGGTGTGAGCTATCCCCTGCCCCCTCACCACGGCTGGCTGGCCGGAAATTCTGGTTAGTAAAGCATTCCGGTTATTTAAATGCTGGATAGTGGAGATTTTCCTATATACATACACGCACACACCCCACCCAGGAAGAAAAAAAAAAACCTTTCTTTTGGCTCAGATCATGTGCCTTGGCTTCTTATGGGCTAAGATCAAGTGGGAGCATCTGAATCCCAAGACCTCCGGGCTTGGGCTTGCAAGAAGGATGCCTGTCAATGCATTTGGGAGTATCCAAAGTCCCAGGGTGAGAGCCTGGGATGGAGGATGCTTGCTAGTTGTAGCGCCAGATGTGTGTTTAGAATGACTGAGGTCTGCCTGCTTAATTGATATGGTTTTTGGAACGATTGAGTTCTGCTCAATTGATATGATTCAAAACTGATTTGGGCTGATTTGACCTGGAACACAAAATACATTTAAAAAAAATGCTTGCCCAATATGGCCCATCTGTTTTATAGTCACAATAAATGTTAGCTGCATTTAAATCAACTTCCCAGTTGGTTTCCATTACCGATGTGCTGTTTTTGGCAGCAAATTAATTATAGACAATGTATTTAATGAGGTTTCCTTGTGCATGAATATATGAGGAGCTTTTCCCCCCCCATGCTGACTGACGGAAAAAATCCCTGGTCTTATATCTGAACACATAAGGTGTTTGCAAAATCCTAGTCTATTAGTCCAAAGTAAAATATGCAGCATAAAAGTTCCTAATTCAAATTTATAGTGCCTATACCAACAATGTAAGTAAGGGCTCTGAGCCTCGGTCCATCTACGACTTGCTTAAAAAAAAAAAAAAAAAAGGGAAATGTTTGAAGAACCACAATGTGGGATAATCTGTCAAATAACACTATAAATAGTAAGTTATTAAAGCGGCGGGACATTGAGAATGTCCTGCTTTACCTTTGGCAGGTTAAAGGGTACCCTTGATGTTTTGGACATTATCCCTGGCGGTTGTGTGTGAAAAATATTCCCAAATTTTTTAAGACCAAGTTAGCTTAGTACTTGTTTAGGATGGCTTAAATCAGGGATTGGCAACCGCTAGCACACGTGCCAGACGTTGGCACGCAAAACCATTTTGCTCACCTAGAGATGTGAAGGCCTGGAAAAAAAAACCGGAAAAAAAAAGTTCAAGAAAAAAAGTGATTTTTCCCCCTGCTCCCCTCCTCCCTCCAGACTTTTTTGGGGATTTTTTCAAAAAAAAATGAAAAAAATTAATATTTTTGGAAAAATAAAAGAAACCTCTTACGAAATTTTCTTTTAGAATGATGAATAAAATGTTTAAGACAAGGTTACATTTGTATCCTTTACCCCCCCAAAATGTTTTCTAATAGCTATGTAAAAGGAAGACTTATGTAAGACTATCTACAGCATGAGATAGTTATAATTCCTGTACACTGAGGACAAGCAGTACAGTACAACTCAAATGCAAGAGCAGGATGCATTTCTGCCCCCAGGGGGCACTGCCATTTTAATAAGAGAAGGAAGAAGGATTCAGTGCCTTCTTTGTTTGTGGACTTACTCTTTTGTTGACTTTTGATGTAGAGATTGGTAGATCTGCTCCTGTCCTCCTGACTAGGCCTCAAAGGACTAAGAGTAGATACTGGCAGCAGCATCCATTCATTCCTTTAAATTAGAAACAAGGAGCTTATTGCCCCGCTTGCTCAAAAGCCTCAGGAGAGGAGACAGAGCAAGTCTAAAGGTTTGGGAGTTGGAAGGAACCTGCCTCCTCCTGGCCTTGTGACCTTGAGATGCACAGAAGTACAGAAGCAAAACAAAGGAGCTAAAAGAAAGTATACTTCTTTATTGAAAGGTAAGAGCTTAAATTTCTCTGAATTCAATATATTCAACTATATTTTAGCTGCATTCATATATTTTCATAACCTATGTAATTCAGTTGAATTCCTATTAATCTGGTATTTTGTGACAAATCACCCAACCTTAGTAGTGAGGTGAAGCCTGCAGGGCAAGGAATTTTTTCACAGTTAACGCTAAAGAGGCCTCTGCTCCATCCATTACTAAATTTGTCCATACTGTAGCTAGCTACTAAATTACATTTTTCTTTTTTTTCCCTCAGCAAAATGGTGCAGCCAACTTCTAGCATATGGAAGCATTCCTTGACCAAAGCATGCACTTCAGGGAGAAGCAAGAAAGAGCTACTTACATCTATGAAGGATTTTTTTAATGTCTGCAGGACACTTCTTTGTGATTTGCAAATACTGTCAAATGAAATATGCATTTCCAAATGCTACTACGATGATCAAACACATCTGTATATTTAAGAAGTGTCCTGCAGACATTAAAAAATTCTTCATAGATGCAAGTAAGGAGGAGGTAGATTATGACAATGAAAGTGCAAGTAGCTCTTTCCAACAGTCTCGATCCAGAAGTCCTTCTGCTGCTGCTTCTCATAAGTGGGTCATGAGCGACTACAGGGCTCTGGGGTCTGGGCTCAAGGGGTTGGGGGCCCAGGCAGTCTTTTCTTCTGTACTCCCTGTTTCAGGCCACAGTCCCAGAAGGGAAGGGTGCATCAAGGAAGTGAACCGGCAACTCTAACACTGGTGCCACCGAGAAGGCTTTGGATTCCTTGACCACACCAAGCACTTCCCTGTTTGCAGCCAGGATGGCCAATCTTCTGGACAGAGCTTTAAACTAAGATTGCTGGGGAATGGGGATACACAAATTCAAACATGTCCATAGACCAACATACAAGTAAGCCCTGTAGATAGGGACAGTGGGAGAGCCACTTTTGCGGGAGATGAGGGAATAGTCCTCTATCAGCAGAACAGGAAAATGAGGGCCTCAGTAGGAGGACTCAGATGCCTATATACTAACACCAGAAACATGGGGAACAAGCAGGAGGAGCTAGCCCTCCTACCCTCCAGTGTGCATTATGATCTAGCAGGGATAATGGAGACTTAGTGGGACTCCTCACATGATTGGAGTGTAGCTATAGAGGGCTACTACACCTTGCATAGAAGGGACCAGGTGGGGAAGAAAGGTGGAGGTGTTGCTCTCTATGTCAAAGAGCAGTATATTTCCTTGGAGGCTATCAGCTCCAAAAATGGACAGCTTGAAACCCTCTGGGTCAAGGTGCTTGGGGGAGAAGACACGTGGCAAGGGAGTCCTAACTGTAGGTGTATACTACAGACCACCAAACCAGAGGGTGGAACTCAATCTGGAGTTCACCCAAGAATTGACTGAGGCTGCACATGCACGTGACATGGTCATCTTGGACTATTTTAATTATCCAGACATCTCCTGGGTGGAACACTCAGCCAAGCTGGATTGGTCACGTGCACCCTGTTCCCTCCGCTCCTGCTCCCCAACTGCCAGTGGAATTTTAAAACCTTTAAAGCCCACGGTTTGAAATTCCCGTGATTTTCCTTCAGCCAATCATGCCTTCCGGCTAGCCCAGAAGTGCGTGCAGGGGGCTCTGCCCCCTACCAACCCACCCACTAGGCTCCCGAGGTGGAGGCCAAGGGACTATCCGGGACTGCCCCCGCCCTTGGGGAAAGGCCCCCGCTAGTTCCTCCCGGCTAGATTCCCCCCCAGCCGCTTGTCTGCCTGCCCACGCGGTCCTGGGCGGTGCAACCCCAGCTCCTACCCCACCATCTGCCTGGAGGTGTCCATTCACCCACTGCCAGTAACAAGGATCAGACCCCACATAGCTTCTCCCCCTCCCAGCCCCGGCACTCAAAGGCATGGGCTGAGGTTGAGGTGTTTTTGGCACTCCAGCCAAAAACGTTGCTGACCCCTGGTTTAGATAGTGATGATCCTTCCTTTAGCAGTGGACTGGACAAAATGACCTCCTTTGTTCCCTTCTCCAGCCCCATTTTTCTATAATTCAATGACTACTTGATGGTATCTGGTATTCAATATCAGGAACAGACTGTCATGTGTTCTTTAAGGGTGGATGGGACCATTAGATCTTCTAATTTAACCTCCTATATATCGGAGGATTAAGATTTCACCCACTTGTCCCTGTGTTAAGTCCACTAACTTGTTTTATTTGGCTAAAAGTTTCTCAGAAAGATACCCAGTCTTGTTTTGAAAGCATCAAGCAATCCACTCCTTCTCTTGGTAAATCTCTTGCTCATATTCTTAATTACTTTTCTCACACATAATGTAAATATAAGCTCAGAGACTAACTGGCACAAACTTCAAAAGTCAAGGAACCAAGTGTCTGGCTGTAGTTTTGCTCTCCTCATTAGAAGAGATTCTCATTACTAGAGACAGACTTAAGCATAACTACATTGAAATTCACTAACATAAAAGGTTGTAGATTTTGACTAATACCTTTATTGCTGACTTTTTTAAAATTAGGTTTAAGGAAAATTTACAGAAACAAGTCAAGTTTAATTGAGTAGTGGAAGAAAACAGCTATTTTTAAATGAAAATCTTAAGTGGGCAACTGAAGAGAACAACCAGAGATAGAAGCAAAATAATGCAGTCTGAGAAAATGAAGGATGCAGCAACAGCAGTAATGGCATCCAGGTGGGGTATGGCCAAGCACTTAGCTGCAGTGCTAATTAGTTTATGGCAGAGCCTCAAACTGTTGAAAACTTACAGGTATTATGACAGCCCTGTAGACTACAACCTTTAATCTATAACCAAATTAGTTTTATAATGACCAGAACTCTTCCCAACCAATAAATACTACATTTTTCCAAATTCAAGATTACTTCAAGGTAAGACAAACCCCAGATAATTAGATTTAAATTAATCCCTCTTCACTTCTGTAGCAGGGAAAACACCAACAGAGGTGGTAGGAGGCCTGCCCCCCAGCCATCACCCAGCCACTGCTTGTCCCTGTTCTAATGCCTGCCCCCTACTGCCTCTCCCCCACACCACTTACCCCTGTCCTCCCATCCTTCCCTGGGCCTGCCTGCATGCAGTACATGCCAAACCAGCTCTGCATGTCATACTTAGCATGCGAGGCCATGGCCACCACATGCTGCATGTGACACACAGGCTTGATCCTAGCCCACAGGCCTCATCTTTGACAGCTCTGATCTAAACTGTATTTCCATAACTTTTTAATGAGAATGTTAAGTCTCACTGTCATGTCAAATATTAGAGCTTTACTAGTATTAAAATGCCACTATATTTATTGTTTGAGCTTGGAAAATTAAAGTGCTGGGAGAATAAGCGTAACAAGAGACTACAGCTAAATAATTATGTTATGTTCCATTCTTTCACTCATTTTAGGACTCTGCAGGGGAGAAAAATCTTACCGCTATCAGCAGTCCTCAACTTATGACTGTTTGAGTTAGGACAAACATCACTTACGACCTCTGTAAATTACAACGGTGTTTCAAGGTTCTGATGGGGTTTCGACTTTATGATACTGGACACAGCTGCCTCCAGCTGGTAAGTCTGTTGTGGCAGGGCTGGGGGGGAGGCAGGGGGCTGTTTGTCAGGAGTGAGGGGTATCAAGTTGGAAGGCTACATGCCGGGAGTGAGAGGCACCAGCCTGGTTGGGAAGGGGAGCAGTACTGTGGGTAGGAAGTGAAGAGCAGGGGCAGGGCAGTGGCAGGAGCAGGGTGTCATTGCTTCCCCTGCAATCATGTACCCTCTTTCCCCCTCAGCTATTCTCTTTTTTGAAACTAGAAGCCCAGCGGCCCCAGGAGGCGGAGGGGCTGCGCCACGACCCCCAGCCCGCTCATTTGCGCGCAGACCGCCCCTACCTCGTGCGGGGTGCTGTCCACGGCGAGTCCGACGAGCCCGGTAGACTGCAGGGATCAAAGAAAGACGGTCACGCTCCGCCACTCACCCCGGCCCGGCCCGGCC